CTCGAGAGGAAGGTGCACCGGGTTGGCCGCAGGGCCCCTCGGTCTAAAAAAAAGATGGATTTATAAGGATTCGAAAGCAGCCTAGGGTTTCGGGGATTCCTTTCGTTCGAGAGAGACTCGCGACTTACGTCCCCCGCGTATCTTACGCTATCGATTATCGATGATTTCCGATCTCTCCACGTTGGATCGTGGGCCGGTTTCTCGTCCCGCGAGACTAGGTACACCGCACGCAGATTTACGATACCAATCGGATCGGACAAACTCCGACCAACCGTCCAGTTTGTTTTTCATTTTAAAAGAATCCAAATGCTTCCGCGCGTATCGACCCCGTCATCGTGTCCCTCCACCCCTGTTCGCCCTCCGGTTCACGGCGAAAGATGTAATCGACGAGAACGCGCAAGATCGATACTATATAGAGTAAATATGACGGCGCGTTAACTGGGAATGCCGGGAGGAAGATTTTCCGATGACATCTCCCACGGGAGCAGCAAATGCCTCCGCGTCCCCTCTGTGTTCTTTATCACCGCTCCGGAATGCTTGATAACGTTTGATTTGTTTCAATCGTAAATATCAAGGCCGCGGCAATATGGCCCTCCTCTTTCTCGTAGGGTGTACCGATGCACGCAGCCACCCTCGTTATACATACGTGCAGGCGCGCAACGCCGCGTTGCGTTGCATCCCACACCCGCTCGCGATAATTGCGTCCGTCGTGCGTCCAACTCGTCGCGTACCGTGGGCACTAGTCCGCGAACAACTTCCCTCTAAATCGACAGTCGAGGATGCCAGTCGTGTAATTTAGGCGTTTGGTCAAACCGCGATAAGAAAAAGTAATCTCGCCGGCGAGAAGTTCCTCGGTGTTTCGCGCGGACGCGTCCCTAAATCCTCGAGGGAGGAGTAGTAGTACGAGGAGAAGGAGTAGGAGGAGTCTTCCAAAACGAAGCAGAAGAAAACGTTCGACGGTCGCGAGTGCCGAACAGAGAAAGAAAGAAGTCGATATATACACGCACGAATGCGCGCTTCGTGGTTTTTCAATCGGGTTTCGGCGCATTCTTTAATTCGTCGCTCGAGGATAACACCCCTTCCTTTCCTGTTGACCGGGTCGGCCGTGTGTGTACGCGCCCGTACACGTGAAACCACGCACACGCGCTCGACCGGCCACGTTTCTGCATTTGCATTCCCGACGCAAGAGGTGCGCGCACGCCGCCAAGACAGGAGGCATCGAATGTTTAATTCAAGATACGTGAGAGTGTTGAGCCCGAGAAACGGCGAGAGAAAGGGAGAAACCGAAACAAGATCAGCGACAAGGTAGAAAGAGACGGTTGTATGTCGTGTAGAGGCGACCGAGCAGGAGAAACGTACAAGTTGAGCGCGTATGAGCGAGTTTGGTGAAACGAGAAAGAGAAGGAGGAAGAGAGACAGAGGGGGGGAGAGAGAGAGAGAGAGAGAGAGAGAGAGAGAGAGAGCGAAGCGAAAGCGTAGGGTAGCAATTGATGGGACAGGGTGGCGCGTTTGTTGAGCTAATTACTGTAAGGCGAGGCGCTTACGCGCGCCGCTACATACAAACGGCATTAAAGGTGGTGGCCATCAATCCCCGTGGGTCCCCTTTTCCAGTCCTGGCAACTCGCCTCCTCCTATCCTCTCCTGTCTTCTTCGGTGTATCTGTGTCCTGAGACCGCGTCTTCTTCCGCTCGGGTACGCCGTAGCTTGCTCCGTTCCCTCGCGCCTAGATACCACTTTCCTCCTGTTAATCGGTATAATTCACCGTCGTTGCGTTATCCTTTCGGGATTTCTATTATCTTGTTCGGCGCAGTGGCAAGCGGTTAAGGCACGATGCAACGAGAGAACGACCGATTGTCGCACAGCCAACGAGAATCCGTTTGAACGTGATTGAGAAGAAACGTCCGACGTGGGTGTCGAGACCAGGCGGATATCTTTCGAGTCCGCAGAACGGACACCCTCGGATGCACGTGTCACGGACCGTACGCGACGGTGCGACGGGACATAAATAATCGCGGTCGATAATTAAGACGGCGTTTCGGCGCTTGTGCGTGTACAGGCCGACACCCGCTGTCTCCTCGCGACGTGACATCGAGCTCACGCGTGTAGACACGCGAGTCCGCGTCCGAGCCACCGAGGGAAAATATATATCGTCCGCCCTCCTCGACCCATTCCACCTCGAGCCTCGGTTCTATCTTTCTCTCCCTCTTTCGCTCTATGCGTGTTTCTTCCAACCAGGATGGAATCTCAACGATTCTCGCGAACTTCGGGACACCGAATATCGTAACGGGTAAGGGTCCCGTGGCTCGTTTCACGCGAACAAAAAACGAACGGAAAGCGAAACGAAGGGAAGAGAAGCAAAGCGTAGCCGAAGCGGACCGTCCGTGTGCCGAGAGCTCCGCTGTCACGGTAGAAAAGTATTGCGCGGATTCATCTGGATAAACCTTGGTACGATCAATCACCTCCCGATTAACCGAACTGCCTACGAAATTGAACTCGAACGGTGTAATTTATAATGGTTTTTCAACGAAAGATAAGACACGATCTTCGTCGACCGGTGACAGAACCTGCCCTTACACCGAAAAAAAAAACCCTTCCACGACGATGGAATAAAAAACCGTCGGCCGTTTAGGGTATGTACGATGATGATGACGACGACAAAGTACACTCGTACCACTCGATAATAATCGTCCCCAGTAAGGATCGCTTATAGCATCTTCACCGTTCAACGTTATTAACTGTCTAAATAAATGACACGACGGAGCGGCGTCGCGAGAGGGAATCCTGCTGCCAGTGACATAAGTTCCCGAGTGTAATTAGGGGAATAAAGTCCGCGGAATTTCGCGAGCCAGAGCCACGATGCCCAGCTACGATCGTAAAGAGGACGAGTGTCCTGGCGTAATCCGAGGCCCGCAGACTCGTTGCGAGAAAGGGGGCTGCCGCGGAAACGACGAGGACGACGCGTTGGGGGAACGATGGTGGAGGGCGTCTCGGTGCCGACGTCGTCGTGCCAACCCCACGGGGCGCCAGGCTCGTTATATCTTCATTAAGCGGTCTACCTAACCATCCTGTCGCGACTTCTTAGCACTTCGCAGTTCACACTAATTTCGCGTTACTTTTTTTGCTTTCTACATATCGGTTTCCTTGTTCCAAGCCGGATAAACTCGCGAGTAAAGACGACGCTCGAAGGACAAGCACGCGGCCGGTATTCCGTTTCCCTTGGTGTCCTAGGGGGGGCTGAAACTTTCCGTCTAAATCCTCTTCTTTACGGACATCGAACGAGTATTTTCGTTCCAGCCTGTGCGGCATTCCGTGCTCGTTTCACGATCACATCCGCTGACCGATCTGATGCGTCACGGACAATGAAAGAAGATTTCGAGGATCGTTTACGATACGAGAGATTCAAGTATCCAGTATACATTTCCAGTTTTCCAATCGAAACGTTGAACCTCGTTCCTGATGTTTCTTTTTTACTCCCCCGTCCGGGCGAAACTCGCGCGGAAACATGGGGCGCGAGTTCAGCAAGATTTAAGCGCGATTCTTTGTCCGAGGAGTTAACGCCCGCGAGTTTTGTGCTCGTGTCCGAGAGTCGAGCGTAGAATCCCCCCTCGCCCAAGGAAATTCCAAGTCGCCGAATCGCCGTAAGATCAGGACGCGTCGTTATGGGTCTCTCTGCTGGCTCGTTCCTCCTTCCTCTTGGCTCGTTTTCTCTGTTCGTCTTGCTCGCGGTTTGTTTCTCGAGCAGGGACACACAGAGGCAGCATCAGCATCGGCCATCGGCTTGGGCATCGGCATCGGCATCGGCATCGGCATCGGTATCGGGGCGGAGGACCCGGTCCACGGGCAGAAGGAGGACGCGGTCGTAAATATTCGGGCGCCAAATAATGCCGGTTCCCGAGCGAGAGCAAGCGACCACGACTGCTGCTCGACCCGTAATGAAGGACATCCCCGTTAATTAGTCAATAAATTATCCTTCGCGCTCACGACGCCCGTGGTCTCTCTCCACTCTCCCCGTCTTTCTCGGTCGCTCTCGTCCTGTTTGCCCAGAGAGAACTCAAGGGCCGCATACTTTACGACACCTATCTCGCGCGACAGCACGATGCATTTCTCACAATCAGGACCTTCGAAGACGGAAACGCGTCTTGTAAGACGATCCACGAGGTGGTCCGCCGCTGGCTTTCAGCCACGATGAATTTTTCAACGACCGTTTCGTCCCGTTTCCTCTCGTCTCCTCTCCCTCCTCTCTCCTCTCGATCCTCTTCCACGCTACCACCGTCTCGATCCAACTCATCTCCACCCCCTCCTCGCCGTCTGTCCGCTTTTTCGCTATCGCAAACCCAATAGGAACGGACGAATAAAGTACACGCGAAGAAATTAGCGCGGTTCGTTCGATCGTTCAATCGTTCGAAGCGATAACGGAAGTTGCGTCGGTAATTAGCAGTTTTATTCAAAAGCGATACCCTACCTACCAGTTCCTTCTCTCGGTTGAACGGATCAACTTTACGAGCGTTCGTGTCTTTGTTTCACGAAACCGCGACGAATACACGTAGGTATATACATGTACATATAGTATGGGCGCGATGGAACGCTGCTACTAAATAGTCGCGCGATATGTCATCGTATAAATCCGTGTCTCGTGTCCGCGGAGAGGCACACGGCCCGTTGAAAAAATTCGCGACAAGTGGTATAACCTACTCGAACGATCCAAGCAAACGTTTTCGTCGCGTTGTGCACGGAGCATAAAGATTCGATCGTATACACGCGTCGAAAGTATGTACTCGGTGCCACGTGACCGTACATCGTCTTAACTATTTCCTGGCACAGTACTGGCCTACCGGTTCGCACACGACCACGAAGGACGAGAGGTTCCGACACCGATACCATTGACGTCCAAGGCTAACTAACGCATCCGTAGGTTTATGTCGTGGCTCGGTACATCGGAGATAATTTAAGAACGGTCTCGCGAACGACCATCGATCCGAGAAATATTCGAAAGATGTGTTACCGTTCGTGGCGTACCCAGGGTTCCACGTGGCCGTTCCAACAATTTTAACGCGGACTCACGCTCGCGCGCCCCATAAATTTGCCCTCTCCAACCGGTAGACGTTCTCCGCCGGAAATACGAGGCAACCAGACACGGCCGAGAAAAACAATCTCGCGAGAATTAACTCGGCTCTTCGACGAAATCCGACGACGAATCACGGGGAACTTGGAAAATTCCGAGAACGTATTCGGCCGCGTGACTAGGCGTAGGAAAAACGTCCTCGTGCGCCTCCGCGAGATGGGCCCGGAGTTCTTTCGCGAAATTCGTCTGAAACGGATCGGCGTCTTTTACACGACAAACGTCGCATTCGTAGATCGTTTTGCCGGGATGCAGATTAGTAGAGAGGACGTGCTTCCTCAGGTTTTCCTGCAACAAAAATAAAACGTTTTGGTTAAAGCGAGCGTGTATGTTACACGCGGTCGACTTTGCAAAGAAAGGACAGTAGTTCCTCGAGAGAACGACGAGGTGTGTGCGAGAGGTCGGTCCGTGTGAATAGGCGACAACCGAAGGGACGTCCTGGTGTGTTTCGAGAGCGTCGCGCGATTCGAGTCGAGTCGAGTCGGTGTTGGAATGAACAGGAGGCTCGGAACGGGCTTTCGTTGGTATCGGTCGACAGTGAATACCTGCGTCCAGAATCGGTCTGCCGCAAACCGGACGCGTTCATTGGCTATGCCATGGAGCATTTAAAGGCGCTTTACCCTCTCGGGCTAAGTAGCTGGCCGTAGTCGTAAACATCTTCCTACCAGGCGGGCTTATACGAGCCGTTGATGGCAACGGCAACATCAAATTTAATTTCCCATAAGTAAATCTTTCCACGGGCAGTGCTCCGTGACGGTCTCGGATAAAGACCCGTTCACACCGTCATGGGCGGTCGTCCACCTTTCAGCGAAACGGTCCTGTCCATAGAAAGTGTGCCCCGTCACGCGAATCGCGTATCAAACCTTACGTTGATCCAATCGATTCCGATTTCTTTCGATATAATTATCAGCTACATCGGCCACTACCTATGCACCGGGCATGCTGTGTGTTACTAGGCCGGAGAATATCTCGCTTTACGAGCCTTCGTTCTAGGATCTCGAATCGTGCCGACTTTAACTTCCTCCGCTTTTATTTCTTTCCAGGGATTCCAGTCGGTTAATATTAATTTCCTTCTACCCGTGTAAGCTACCTTGCCGTAACTTAAACGTAAATGTCCTCGTAATATATGTATGAAATTTATCGGAAGCAGCAATAAGTCGGATATTCTTGTGGTTCGTCGGTGGCTTGAGCTGCTTGTAATATTATAAGCGCGAACAGCCGGGATCTTTAACCCAGATCAAGATTTTATCGATGGAATACCGAATGGTTGCGCGCCTCCACTTTTTACTCGATATCATATAAATTCGTAAATGCTCGTCCCGTTGCGAGCCCGAGTTCATCGGTGAGCATTTCGGAAAATAAATTCCGATTAAGGAAACGAATAAATCGAAACGGACGCGGAACCGTTTAATTCGTTCGATCGAATGGCGGAAATTACGAAATTCCTTATTGCGCGTAGACTCGTGAATATTTTACAGGGTTCGATGCGTACCTCGATGGAGAATTGAAGAGGGAGATAAAAAGCGGCAACAGACGGGGCAAGATGCGTGGAAACGCGAAACAGATCCGAAAGTAACTAGCGTTGCCTTCGAGAATTATCGCCGCCGTCAACACCGTTTTAACCACTACACCGAACAACCGAACCGTAAGTTTTCCGTGCGCGCTGTCCCGTCAAGGGGAACCAAGAACACCGAGAAGAAGAACCAGAAGAGACGCGCGTGGACGCGTACCATCAGAGTGGAACGAAACAGAAAGGTCGTGAAAGGGAAAGAAAGAATCGTGTAACCATTTGAGGTAAATCATAACCTGGATGTCGTGAAGGAGAGGGAGATATAGGAAGAGGAAGGAAGGAAGGAAGGAAGGAAGGAAGGAAGGAAGAAAGAAAGAAAGGTGGCACGTGTAATCTTGTTGACGCAAGGCAAGTCACTCGCTACGTGGGTGGGAATTTGGTCGTTAAATCGGCTCGTACGCTGCTCGCGCGTTCCTTCCTTATTAAAGTCTTACCGGGTAAACGGCTATCGCCGATCCCGATATTCCGGCGGATCGAAGCGATTTCCATCGGTTCCCGTATCTTACCCCCTCGTCCAGGGGAGAGACGAAGGAACGGAGGCAGGGGGTGTACTTTTCTTTTCACCCCTGGCGCATCACTTTAATCCACGGTTGCGCGATCGTGATCTTTATCACGATCGATTCCGTCGATCGTATCCACGATGAGGAAAACGGCCCGATTAGAGTATTTTTTCACGGTCCGAATATGTCGCGGTGCGGTTCGGTACTTCGGTAGTGCCTACTGGTTGTATCATTACCGATGCAAGACGTAACATTCGCAATTCTCCGTGCCGCGAGATTACCCCGCTCAAGTTATCCCGGGCTGAGAGCCACTGGAATGAGTTTATGTCGCTATCAAAGAGACACGGAGCCCTCGTATGCGAGTCGCATCCTAACTAAAGCTTCAAAGGGCATTAGCATACCGGCCGCTCGGTATGACTGGGCCGTGCGTGTGTGGGCATCCAGTGAGCACAATTAACTCGTTATCTTATCGCGCCTCGGTGGCGGCAGAGGCGGCGGCATGGTCCAAACGTTAAGGTGTACTTTGCTTAATTTACGCCACGAAGTCACCGCGGGGACAAAAATTGAACGGGGCGAGTGAACCGCCTCGCGCTCGCAACCGTGTACGCGCGTCACGGTCACGTCGAAACGGGACACGCCGATCTTTTTCGACGCATCGACCACCACGGTCCAACCCGATCGTTTTCATCCTCTTCTCACGCGACGGGATTCACTGGGCCGAGAGCAGCTCTTTCGGTTCTTCGCGTGTTGTCTTCGGTTCTCGTTTACTCGCGACCCCGCATCGAATCAAATACAAACTTACCAAGTTGTTGCTCGCGTAACCGCAATGCCGACACTTGTACGGCTTGGTTCCCGTATGCAAGCGCACGTGCCGCTGCAAATGAGAGGCGAGTTTCGTTTTAAAAGCGCATCCCGAGTAAGGACAGGCCCGTAACGACTCCGAGTTGCTGGCTTTCGTGGGATCTTCGTGGCGGCTACGATGTCTGTAACCAAGAACGAATTATATTTTCCACGATTGTCGCTATCTTTTTCTCCGCTGTTTTTTTTTTTTTTTTTTTTTTTTCGGGAATTCCAGAATTAGGAAAAGACGAGGGTTCGTCGCAACGAAATAGTATGGACGTTAAGTATGTATATCTAGCCAGGACTGGAAGACGCGACAGAACTCGGCAAGTTGATCGTCGCGGCGGCATCGATGATTATGAACGATGCGATATGCGTGCGCGATATTACGAGGGAGCCATTGGCCACGGCTACGTGTATATCAGGTTCGAAATGCGTGACACGTTTAATTAAAATCCCGCGTGATTTACTCCGCCGCACAGCGTGTAAACGAAAGAGACGGTACGAGATACACGCCCGTGCGAAAGAGGGATCGGCGACACTGGCTGTGAACGATGAAAAAGAGAACGAAAGAGAGAGAAACGTGATAGGAGGAGGTGGAGGAGGAGGAGGAGGAGAACAGGAGGATAGGGTTATAGTGGGAGGAAGAGGAAAGAGAGAACACGAAAGTGGGAGAGAAAGAGAGCTCGTGACACTCTGTGGCTGCGTTGAGTTCGACTCACGTAGTAAGTACTCAATTCGCGATGAAATATCGCGTCGACCATCGCCATGCGGACGATCATAACGGGTTGCCCGCACTTGGCCGGCTGCTGCACGCAACTTCCGCTTTCGGTGTTCTCTCTCCGTTCCACCCACCCCCACTGTTTTTTTTCTCATTCCCACTTTCGCCCGATCGGTTCGTTCCTCGTTACCACCCCTCGCGCACTCCTTCCCCGTCTCTCTACCCCGCTGGTTACACACGACGCGCGAAAAAGGGAAAACAAAACGAAACGGCAAATCGAACGAGATGAAATTTATTAGCGTCCTTCCACGGTACAATGCCCTTAATAAGGCTGAATTTAAATCGAACCTCTCCGATTCGTTCGTATATACCGCGCCAGTCCCGCCATCGCGCGACGAACGATCGTCGCATATTTCCCAGTATTAACCGTTCTGGCTGGCTGTCCCAAGAGATAATTAAGAATCAATCGAGAATCGCGGATAAGAAATCCGCGCGCGGATTCCTCGATTAAGGGGGCTCTCGCGCGCACCAATTACCGGTTCATACGCGTAATAACGCACTGCGCGATGCGGCCAAAGTACTTTTCCATTAATTACCGTCAACGATTTATGGCTCGAACGAAACAAATTATATCGATAATAGTCGAGATCCTTTGACCATATAGATCCGAGCAATCGCGTATATACGACTACCGCGGTCAGCGCAATTAATTCGCTGCATACTTCCTCGAAGACATCGGTCATACGCGTCGTGCATATACACGAGCCACGATCACGATTAATGGCGTAGGATCGCGCGCCGTTCCCGTCGGGGATCTCGATTAGAATTAATGTCAATACTATCGGTAGTAAGAGAAAAGCTGAGAGGAGCGGAATCAACGGTCCGTTTCAGGCATCGTGGATGGTATATGGATCACGGTGACATTTGTCGCGGCTACGCTATGCTGGATCATCGGCCATATTATGTACACGTACCTGCGTAGTTGGGATTTTGTTTTCGCCGCGTAAGAGCAGTCCGTGCACTGATGTTGTTTATCGGACGAGTTAGCGTCGTGAGATGGGATCTCAATTCGGCGGCCGTTCGCAGGACCGTGGGACAGCCCGGAAGTCCGCACTTGTACTTTTTCCCGGCGTGACGTAGCATGTGCTGCCGTAGAGCGTGCCTGAAAAGAAGAAAAAGGAAAGGTTCGGAGTAGTTCAGACGAGACGGTCCGGTGTACAACGTCCAGAGGAAACGTAACCTCTCCCCTTCCAGGAGAAAAGGCTTCGTATCACGTGCCACGCGTGCAACCCCCTATCTTGGAAATATTTCGCGAGATTCGTATAATGTTTGGAATACCAGCAACCGCCCTGACCGACGCGACACGTTGAGAATAATGATTTTCGTTTTTTTTTTTTTTTTTTTTTTTTTTTTTTTTTAGAACCGAGTTTTCGTTAAGTTCGTCGTGTAATAAGACAGCACAATGGTCCGGCGTATGCGAGGTACGCGCGTGACCATCGGCTGTTTGCACGCCGTACGATCCGATCGCAGCTGTTGCATCCTATATCAACCTGCCGGCGAGCGCACACAAGAGCCTGCACTTTAAATAGTTTCTGTCAAGAGGTGACGATCTATACGGTTAGTGAACTCACTCCCGGCACGTCGACCAACTCGATGGGACGCGTCCAGAGTTTGCGGTCTGTTGCCGTTCGTGTTTTCGTTCTTGATCGCGAACACGATTCACAAGTCATGGGATTAACGGCAGGTCGCGGAGAACGTTTCGTTAAACCGCGGGAAACGTCCAGGGGATATCGTTCGCCTCTTCGATGCCAGAAGATGACGCGCGCGTAAAGAGCTTGGAATCGTCGGCAAGGCCGCGCCGCTAATACCAACAACGTACGTAAGTACGTACATAGGTACGGGATCGGTATAAAAGCAAGCGAAAGCTCGTCGATGTTATCGAAATCGGCAGCAAATTTCCGAACGTGGTAGCCACGATCTTCCCTTACGTATCTCTCGGTCGCTGTCTCGAGATCTTTACCAACGAGCGTGGTCACCGTGCGGGAAACCCACCGGCGCGGTAGCAGAACCGAAGGACACGGATTCGCATTTTTCGAGATGGCAGCTCGACGATACCGGCCAACTCTCCGCGAACGTGCAACGGATCGAAGGAAGAAGAAATCGAGCGCGAACGAGGGACAGGGAACCGAAGAAAAAGAGGATGAATGAGGAGAGAAAAGGTGCGACCGAACGGGATGGAAAGGAGCAGAGAAGAGAAGAGAGGTCGGAGAGAAGGAACGATCGGGAACAAGAAGAGGCTGCGCGATCTGGGCCGTCCTAGAGGGAGTCCCGGCCTACCCAATTGGCTACGCAAGTGTAACGGCAACTTTTACAATGTCAGGATATACACGCCCTCGCACGAGCTTAGGACGTACCTTCTGGTACACCTGCATCCAGGTAGTCGTTGCATGAACGTTCACGAATCACCGGTTGGCCGTGAACCACTGTTCGTCGCTTCGACGTTCTCCAGTCGTTTCACCTTGTCCCTCGTCTACGGGCGTCTTTATCCGATTATTCCTCGCTAGATGCCATGCACCGTACACGAATAAAAATATTCGAACCCGAACTGTGGACCTATACCAGTGATAGGCAACCGAGACTGCTCGGGCATGTTGCCCGTACGGGCAAGTGGCGGGCAACCGCGGGCTCCTGTGAAGGCGACGCGAGGCAGGAAACGTATCGATATATTTTCGTATTGGGATTCTTTGACCCTTCTCGCACATTTTCAGCTAAACTAGCCTATCGCTCGCATAGTTTAATAATCATTTATGTTTCTTTTTATTCAAAACAGATAGAAGCAACCTGATCTTGTGTCGGCTACGCGAAAATGATGCCTTTATATTAAGTAGTATTTAAAGCAATTGTTATTTAATTATACAAATACCATTGTAAATTGTATATTTTCTTACGATTCTTCAATCAAAAACAATCAAACCATACATATGCGTTATTCATTAATCCCGCACTATCTCCACTCCTATTCCTAATATCAATTAACCAACAAAGTAATAAGAAGTAATAAATAATAACAAAATAATTAATTCTAAAACTTTTAAGTTTTGGAAGAAGTTCTGGAATTAGTTCCAATTTCCAAGGCCTAGAGACCCCCACGGAGTTGCCCATCACTGACCTATACAAAGGACGAACTCTTTGCGCGTTCGTGCCATTAATCGGCCAGGACAACTTACCCGGGTCGTTCGAACGCAAATTGCGACCTACAGGTACGCGTACGTAGGTACGTTATTTAGGTGCAACATCGGCAACTTCCGCAAACGAATATTTCCTCGTTACGTTTCGTCCTGTGCAACAAGGCGGGAGGGGATGGTTCGGGTGACGAGGGGAGATCGCGGCATTCCGGGAATGCAACGAAAGAGAGGCGTATCCGCGTTGAACGTTGGTTCGATGAACGCTAACCAACGATGTAACCGTGATCCTCGGTGTTCGCGCACCGTAAGCGAGCCCCGTAATTGCCCTGAATTATGACGTCCGAGGTATTCAGCGACAACGGTTTTCCGGTGGATTCGTGTCTCGATAAAAAGGATATTAATAGGATCGTATTATATTCAATCGTGGTTTCTCACGCGGTAAACCGTCGTGACCGACGAGGCAAACGTTCGCTAGAAGCCAGACCCTGTCGTAGTCGTCGACGTACAGACACTCGAACGAATGCTCGCGGGATTCGTGATTAAAGTTTACGAGATCTCGAACTCGCGAGACTCGGAATGGAGAAGTATCGTGAGCTAATTTCCCTGAAAAATTATCGGAACGACGCGAAGCCGAGAGGTCGAGACGACGACATCGTCGACGAGGCACTGTCGGTCGACCGAGTGAATTATAGGACGCGCAAGTCCCGTGTTTCTCGGGGTTATTCGAGGGGATTGGAATTCCGATAGAACAATATTAATATGGTGGCCGACAAAAGCGCGTCTCGCGGCGACGACATTGACGAAACGGGGGCGAAAGGGAGAAGCGGGGAAGGTTCGACCAGCCACGGCGTGTGTTTCGGTGGAATGTCGCAGGCGTGACAAGAGGCCGTTAAGAAGAGAGTCTCGGGCCGATTGGGCAAGCGGATGCGGTCACTCCGGATGATTTAGCACGACGTTCACCGTCATCTCGTGAAATATGTGCCGGCCGGGGACTCAGGGTCATTTAAAAGTCTAATCCGCGTCGGTGCGATCGTTGTTACAGTCGTCGCCAATAACGCTCGCGTTTCGTCGCGCGACGAGATTCTTCTGATTTAACGCGAACGCGTGAAAAACAAGTCGGTACGTATACCGAAGACGGGCAGACGGAACGAAAAAGAAAAAAAAAACGTTGCGCACCATTTCACTGTGCTCGATGGCGGGCCTGTATCCTTTGGTTCCCGGGCGATCGATGGATATAAATCCCGGCGATGATGGCTGATCGACGCGCAGATAGGGTACGCAGTCCCCGGCAATCTCGAGGCGAAAATTCGTATAATTAAAACGGAGGAGTTAACGGCGGTGAACCGAAAGTTTGACGTCCGATCGAACAGAATGGAATCGGAGATCTCCGAGGTGAACGAGCGGGGGCAGTGCCGGTCATAGATCGAGGGAAGAGTACGCGGCCGAAAGTAAAGCCCGCCAGGATGTAGCGACGTACGGATTAATATAGCCTCGATCGTTCTGGGATGGGAATGGCGGGGCCGTTGGTGAAGCGATCGTGTACTATCCGAGAGGAGGGAAGCGGATGGGAGCGAGCGAGCACGGGCATTAATTAAAAAGGTTGCGCATTAAAATGATTTGTTTTAATTGGCTGAACGCGGTGAGGTATTTATGGCCTCGCGGTCCTTCGCTCGCCGGTCCGTCGGTCTGCGGCCTCTACAACGAACGTCGACTCGGACTTCTTCTTCGTCTGCCTCTCCTCCTCCTCCTCCTCCTCCATCACCACCACCATCGCAACCTCCACCTCCACCGCCTTCTTCTTCTCCTTCTCTTCCTCTTGTTTCTTCTTCTTCGTCCTCGTTTTCTTCTTCTTCTTTCTCCTCTTCTTCTGCTTCTTCTTCTCCTTTCCCCTTCCTCAGGCTTCTTGTCTCGTCTTCTCTTCGACTTTCTCGCCTTCCTCACCGACGTCTTTCCTGCCGCGCTAAGTCCTCTGCACGCCCTAGTCCCCTCCACCCCTGACCTCTTCGATTATCTCGAAATCGGACGATCGTTCATTCCGACTAGCCACGAGAGAGCTAAAAGCCGATTCTCCTCTGGCGCGGAGCGACCGAGGGCGATTCATAAATATCGGGCCACGACAAGTGGATCTTTATTACCGCGAATGATTTACAAGCGACTTTGCCGTGCTCTTTCTTCGACTCTGTCACCGATGTATCCTCCGGACAAGCCTCTTTCACGTCTCGCCATCGATGCACCGTTCGCTCTTCCTGTAATTTACGAATTTTTGCCCGGTTGTCCTCGAGGAATCCGACGTTCGTCGTGTTACATACGAATCGCTCTTTCCTTTTCCCAATTTTTTTTTTTTCTCGCGGTTCGTTCGATAACTCGATCTACTTACGCGAAACAACGAGACCCGATCGGGAACGTCGTATTCGTAAACGATTCCGATATTCGAATGACACGAGCCGGTATATGTTACGATAAAAGGTAAATATCCGAGTACATCGTAGTAGAGGAGCCGAGGACTCTTCTCTGGAGAGCCGAGACTGCCGCGCGGTGGGTGGAATCAACGTTTCCAGCGGACCATAGCTAAGGTGGGATCGTGATGGGCCGTGATGGTGGTGTGGCCGTGGAACGATGCCGAAGAGGAGGCTGGACCAGAGTGAACCGAAGGTGATGCATGGCCGACGGTTCCTACGGCGGGGCCGCAGACGAAGAAATAAAGAATAAGAAGAATATCCGCTTCGTCGGGTTCAGAGCCGGCCCCCTGGAGCAAACGCTGTCATAACTCAATCCCACCTTCGTCCGTTCGTCCGTTCGTACGTCCGTATGTCGGTAGGTCCTTCCCGCACCGGTGCAGCTTGCACCTGCGTTCGTCTCGTTCCTTCGCCGACTTTTCTCTCTCTACCTTCGCGCCTCCTCTTCCTTTTCGATTCGTCTTTCTCGAAACCCGATCTTGATCCCTGTGATCCGCTTCTTTTGGTCTACACACGCCGAG